ACACACAGACACACACACACACAGACACACACACACTCCGTGTTCACCTCCCGTCTGGTTCAGTGTGTGTGCAGCAGCTGTGGAGCCTCCTCAGATCCTCTGCCCTTCATTCAGATGGTCCACTACATCTCCACCACCTCCCTGTGGTAAGTCCAATCCAGCGTTTACCAGATCATATTTATTGAAGACTGGAGCTTCTTCATCATGAAGAACTGACTCACACACAGTAAACCTCCTCCTCCTCCTCCTCAGTAACCAGGCAGTGAAGATGTTGGAGTCGAGGGAGAAGGCGACCCCGGGCATGTTTGGGGAGCTGCTACGAAACGCCAGCATGGGGGACCTGCGCAACTGTCCTGTGAGCAGCAGCTCTCCTGCGACGCACACACACTGACTGGCGTGAAGCACTCAGAGGTCACGGCTCACCTTTCTTCCTCCTCCTCTTCCTCAGAGTCAGTGCGGTCAGCAGCTGCGGATGGCTCGCGTCCTCCTCAACAGTCCGGAGATCATCACCATCGGCCTGGTGTGGGACTCGGATCACTCGGACCTGGCCGAGGACGTCATCCACACCCTGGGAACCTGCCTGCGCCTCGGGGATGTAAGTAGAATAAGACACGGCATTAAAGCACGGTCTGAACAAAGCGAAGGATAAACGCGAGCGTCGGCGGCGTGCGGTGACATCTTCCCCTCTCTGCAGCTGTTCTACAGGGTGACCGAGGAGAAGGCTCGGCAGTCCGAGCTCTACCTGGTCGGGATGGTGTGCTACTACGGGAAACATTACTCCACTTTCTTCTTCCAGACTAAGATCCGCCGGTGGATGTACTTTGATGACGCACACGTCAAAGAGGTATGCGTGCACACAGGTAGAAACATCTGCAGCGACAGATGTGTCGAACGCTTTCCTTTACTTTATTCTCACGGTCATGTCGTGAGGCGGAGGATGAGTTTCTCTGCTCACCAAGACACTTGTAATAACGTAGTAATAACGAGGTGCAGTGCCACCGAGGCCGGTTAGACTCTGCTGTAGTGCGACTGTAACACGAGTGCGTTTTGTGTGTGTTTGTGATGTAAAGGAAAGCTTTGACCTTTGATCTGCATCAAAAAGAACAGTTTGCTGTTAGGAGACTTCTCAGAGCCACGTGTTCTCACCGTGGGGGCGTGGTGTCAGGATCTCGTCCCTGCTTTTGCAGACGATGTGGTTCTCATCATTAAGGTTCGCAGCTGAGTGTGAAGCAGCTGGATCAGGGGGGGTTTCATTATCTCGGGGTCATCTTCAGGACGGAGGAGGAAGTGCAGCCGAGCGGTGGTGAGGAGCTCGGGTTCAGCATCTGTCCTCTAGCTGGAGGTTATGTCTGATAAGAGGGTGTTTAGACCCACACCACCACGATCTGGACCCAGATGAGCAGCAGGTGGTTATGGATTAAAAAGCCTCGTTATTTACGTCGCGCTGCTTCGCTTTATTTAGGCTCGGGGGGCCCACCCGCAACACCTCCACAGCCCACCAGGGGGCGGTGGCCCAGACTTTGGGAGTTGTGGGGTTAACTGATACACCATCAAATTTCCGTGTGTGGTCAGGAAGAGAAATGACCTCATGTGCTTCCTGTCCTTCCCTCGACCTCCCCACTATCACCTCTTTCCTCCTGCCTCCTCCTGCTCCCTGTCGCCTCTCTCTTCTGTCATCGACGCTCTCTGATGGAAAGAGAGATGTCATTCCCCGCACTCCCTCACTCTCTGCTGGTTGTGAAAACAAGGATATCCCTCTATTGTTGAGCAGTCCAGCTGGACAGAGTGGAGGGTGTGGTCAGAGCGCGCTCACACCACAGCGACACTTTTGCTCACGCTGCAGACTTTCATTCTGTCTCTTTCTCTTAAACAAACACATATTTTCACACGGCCGGGTCGGCGCGGCGCGCTGAATCCCGCGGACGTCCTGTCACAGCCGAGCGGGGCTGAAGCTTTTGGATGTTTGGAAGAATCGGAGGAAGTGTTGAAGTAATCGAGCAGGAGGATTTTACAAAGACAGACTGACCGGGAGGATGGGGAGGAGGCGTTTTTCCATCACGAAGCCGTGAGCTGCTGTCAGCATCTGGACGTCCCGACTGCAGCCGGTAAAGCACCGGCTCCTCCTCACCTTCCCAACTGTTGGCTTGAATTATCTTCCATTAATTCAAGATTATTGCTTTAAATTTGTTTCTATATTTTTGCCTGAAGTTTATACAGAAACACTTAAGGTTAAAAAAAGGTAATAAGTTCATTCTTGGTAATTACGGGAACAGGAACTGTCTGCGGTGGAGACAGATGCCTGGCAACTTTTTTTTTTGGCAGCACTGAAATGAGATTTTAGACAAGAACTGGATGCAGCACCGTGACTCCTCCCACTGTTTTCAGGGCTTTGTAGCCTCAACAGGGGCAACAAGCAGACACAGCTTAGTGTTAATCAGAGCTCAGTGACATCCAATTAACTGCAGACAGTGTTAGTACAGCAACCTCACAGCAGCCGTGTTATTGGTTACGTCATGTTAGAGAGCTCAGGGACCTCCGCCTGTTTGCCATCTACCTGTCAGTCACAGAGGCCACGCCCCTAACAGTTGTTTGTCTCCGTCTCCTGACGAACTGTTGGCCAGTCTCTTCTCCGATATGTAAAACGGTGTCATCTGCATACAGTGACACTCTTCTCCTGCTCATTCCTCTCTTTCACTTCCTCTCAATCTTTATTCTGTAACAAAAGTTTAAAACAGTTTTTATTAACTTACCTGTAGAGACCAAACAGGCGCTTCAGTGTAGATTTCAGGCTTTAGTGGGTAACAGCTCTGCAGCTCTGGAACTGCTCAGTGTGATTTGGTGTCTTTTAAAAGCATCTTCTAACCTGCACTCGAACATTTAGGATATATCTAGATTAAAGCAGAGCATCAGATTTTGCTGCAGCCTCTGTGAGCCCTTTGAACCAGCTCTGCACCTGCTGCAGGTTCTGCTTGGAGTTCTCCTCCAGCTCACAGGAGGTCTCCAGAACAGATCCAGGACCAGCCAAAGGATGTCGAGGAACACCGTCGCAGCAGCCTGCGGAAACAAAGTGGCTGCTTGTTGTTCAGTATAAGAACCAGGGGATTGTTCACTAGTGCCCTGACTTCATGTGCACGAGTACGCATTACAATCCTGCTCAGAGCGAAGCGTCTGTTTGTCTGCTGTTAGACTCAGGTTAGAGATGTTCTTGCTGCTTTCTCATTGGTCTGCAGCTCTTTGCTGTTGGTGCTGTGTGTGTGTGTGTCTGCGTGTGTGTGTGTGTGTGTGTGTGTGGTGTGTGTGCGTTGTGTGGTGTGTTGTGCGGTGTCGCGTTGGGTGTGTGTGGTGTCGGCGTGTGTGTGTTGTGTGGTCTGCGGGTGGGTGTGTTGTGTCTGCGTTGGTGTTGTGTGTTTGCGCTGCGTGGTGTGTGTGCGTGTGTGTGTCTGTGTCTGTGTGTGTGTGATGGTCGTGTGTGTGTGTGTGTTTGTCTGTGTGTGTGTCGTGTGTGTGTGTGTGTGGCTGTGTGTGTGTGTCTGTGAGTGCTGGTTAGTGTGTGTGTGTGTGTGTGTGTGACGTGTGTGTGTGTAGGTGTGTGTGTCTGTGTGTGGGTGTGTCTGTGTCTGTGGAGTGTGTGTGTCTGTCTGTGTGTGTGTCTGTGTCGTGTGTGTGTGTCTGTGTGGTCTGTGTGTGTGTTCGTGTGTGTGTGTGTGTGTGCTGTGTGGTGTGTGCTGTGTTGTGTGTGGTGTGTGTTGGTGGTGTGTTGGTGTGTGTGTGTGTGTGTGTGGTCGTGTGTGTGCGTGTCGTGTGTGTTGTCAGTGTGTGTGTGTGTGTGTGTGTGTGTGTAGTGTGTGTGCTGTGTGTGTCTGCGTGTGTGTGTGTGTGTGTGTGTGTGTGTGTGTGTGTGTGTGTGCAGGTTTGTGACTCACTGATGTCTTGCTGGTTTCCGTCGCTGTCCTGCAGATCGGGCCCAAGTGGATCGACGTGGTTTCGCGCTGCATTAAAGGCCACTACCAGCCGCTGCTGCTGCTGTACGCCGACCCGCGGGGGACGCCAGTGTCTGCGCAGGACCTGCCCTCGCGCCTCGACCTCCACCACCTCAACAAGGCCTGTTACGACAGCGAAGACTCGGGTAACTACAACACAGCTAGGAGTCGTAGTAGTAGCACAGCAGCAAACACTCAGGTAACTAAACCAGCCTCAGTCGCTCCAATAACACTTTTACTGGCAGGCGGCAGCTGGAGGAGCAGTAGAAGTAGTTCTTAATGTTTAGGCGTGTCTGATGTGATGAGTGCTTTTGTTGTGCTGTGTTTGTGTGAGTCCATCTCCACTGACCTCCTCCCTCCATCCTCCGCCTCCCACTCGCCCAGGCCGCGAGCCGTCGATCTCCAGCGACACTCGCACCGATTCGTCGACGGAGAGCTACTCGTACCGACAGCCCTCCCACTCGCACCATGAGTCCCTGGCCAGTCGCTACTCCTCCGACTCCCAGGGAACCGTCATCTGCATCGACCGCCCAGACGGAGCCCTGCACGCCTCGCTCTGCAGCCTGGATACCGTAGGTGGGTCAGAGGGGGGAACCGGAGACACTGGAACCCTTTTTAGTGTCTGCCAGCATGTGAGTCCACCAGCGGTCCTAAGCTCAAAGATGGAAGGCGTGGGTGTCTTCCTAGCAGAGATGCCCACATCAACAGCCAGTTTTCTTAACTGTGTTCAGTTTGAAGCTTTAGTTTTTAAAAAGGAGCTGGTGCTCCTGTGGTAACCAGCACTACCATAAACTGGGCTTTAATGTAATCTTGAGCTTAAACCATATTTTCGTCAAACAGCCAACATGAGCAGGAAATGTTTCGTATTTTCTTCCAGAATAAACGAACGTTCTCCATCTTTGTGTTTTGGACGCTCGGTGCGATGAAACAGGATTTAATGAACGTGAACGTGTTGCAGTTACATTCATTCATTGCTCCGCCTCAGTCATGTGACCCATCTATGCAGCCAATCGCATTCATGCATTCTGCTTCTTTTTCCTATCATGGCGGTCACGCTGTGAACATGTGTTGCCCTGCTTCTTGTTGCTAAGGCCACGCGACGGACGGTGAGCAGCATCAGCCTCCGAGGAAAGGAGGCGTGGCCGGGGATAGGAGGCGGAGCGCTAGCCGCCACCGGCGGTCTAAACCTGAGAACGAAGCGTCGTCGGCTGGTTACCACAGTGAGGGTAGGCGGGGCTTAGGCCAAAGACTTGCTCTGTGAACTGCCTGACATGTGACATGAGTCTAAAAGTATCAGGAGCCCACGCTCAGCCTGGCGACAAACACTCGAGTTTCACAGCAGGATGATTTCTGGGCCATAGCGCCATCTAGTGGCATTTTTGTGACCTCTGATAATTCAGCACCAGCTGTGTAGGTGTAGTGTATGTGGGTGGAGCAAAGTCTCAGGGCGTAGATCAGCTGATTCTGAAGGTGAAGCCGTGTTTTTATTTCCCATCCAGTCATTCATCCACCTCTTTCGTTCACTCTCCTCTGGGGTAAGGTTACTCCTTCTCCTCCTCGTCTTTTCTTACTCCTGCTTTTCTCCTCCTCCAGGCGAGACGTTAAAGGAGCAGCAGGTTCCTCGTCACCTCCCCAAACCTTCGTCTTCCTTCTCATCATCGACCAGCCGCCTGCGAGACTTCAAGGAGACCATGAGCAACATCATGCACAGCCGACCCCTCTCCTCCTCCTCCTCCACGTCTCTGCCGGCCGCCGGCTTCTCCTCTGAAATCGCCCCCTCCTCGAACAGCAGCCATCACCACCACCTCCCTGCCAGCAGCGCCGCTCCTTCCTCCTCCTCCTCCGCTGGGAAAGCTCAGGACTGGGAGGCCGACAGCACCAGCAGCGAGTCAAAGTCCAGCTCCTCCGGGGGAACAGGGAGGTACCGGCCGGCTTGGAGGCCCCGGAGGGAGGCGCTCAACATCGACAGCATCTTTAACCGCGAGAGGCGGAGGCAAGCAGGGTACAGCCCCCTCGGAGCGCCGCTGCTCGACGACTGTGGAGCTCAGGACGCCTCCTCAGCCCTGGAGGAGGTGACGCCTGTCCGGACGGGCTCCTCCAGGACTCTCCCCGCCTCCTTCTCCAGCAGCCACAGAGGAGGTGGAGCTGGACCGGGAGGTGAGAACGAAGGAGCGGGAGGAGCCGTGCTGTCTCCCGCTGCTCCTCCTGCTGCTCCACCCAGGCTGATCCAGAGGATGGAGAGCGGCTACGAGAGCAGCGAGAGGAACAGCAGCAGCCCGGTCAGCCTGGACCTGAACCCGGGAGACAGGTGAGCTCCAGAAGGTCGTCATCAATCGATCAATCGATCAATCGATCAATACTCCAGTCGGCAGATCGTATCGCACCTTACGTGAAGTCACTGTTTAAGTAATTATATTTATTAAAGACAGAACAAGGGAGTAAATTCAAACGTGGGATGGCGTGTACGCGAACACAGTAACGTAAAAAACAACATACGATGAGATAATAAAAGCACAAAGTGAAATAAAAGGTACAATAATAAAAGAACTCCATTAAATAAAAAGAAAACAATGCAATAAAAATAATGTAAATATAAAATAAATCAAAATCCTTCAGCAGATTTAAAAATGCACATTTTCTCATCTGTATAAACAAAGCTGTAAAAGTGGCATAATCAGGAAATTTCCACCTTTTCAGTGGTCCTTGAACTGCCCATGTGCCCTGTTTACTCAAACAATCGACAAAAATAAACCATTTGCACCAATCAGATCCTGTAAAAACAAATAATACATCGAAGAAAACATGCAGGATCGCCGTCGCTGTGTTTCTGCAGCGGGTTTGTCAGATTAGGAGCAGAGCTGATTACGACCCCGTCCTGCTGCAGCAGTTAAACTTTCCTGTCATGCTAAGTGACTCCTTTGGTGGTTTGAGAGTTCGTTCTTGTAAAGTCATTAAAGAATGACCCTGAACCTGTATGACAGAATATGAGTGTTCAGTGGAGTCTAAACTCAGGATTGGCTCTGTTATATGAAACTTCAGCTCCTGACGCTAAACGTGTCTCTGTTTCTCCTCTTCAGGGAGTGTGTGGTGAAGAAGGCTTTGTCGTCCTCTTCCTCCTCAGGACCCTCGTGGAGGAACGCCCGCTCGAAGAGCAGCGGCGCTTTGCTGCAGGAGCTCAGCTCGTCCAGCAGGGGGAGCCTCGGTACGAACGTCTTCGTGTTCTTGCTCATGCAGACGTTGAGCTCTCAGCTCTGTCAACATGTCAACAGGCCGACTTTTCTCCGGCGTGCAAACTTGTTTTATATATTAATGCTGATGGTGTTGTTGCAGCGCCCTCTGCAGGCCGCAGCGAGCTGGACGAGCTGCAGGAGGAGGTGCTGAGGAGAGCGAGGGAGGAGGAGCAGCAGCGGCGGCAGGAGAAGGAGAGGGAGGCGGCGCTCGGCTTCAACCCGAGACCCAGCAAGTACCTGGACCTGGACCAGCTGCAGATCCAGGGTACACACACACACACACACTGACACACACAGACACACACACACACACACACACACACACACACACAC